ACACACACACACACACACACACATATATATATATATATATATGTAATATATATATTCATATATATAAGAACACACACGTGTGTATATAGATATGAATTTATCTCTATATCCAGGAGTGTGCATGTTTAAGTTCGTGCATTTGCATAAGCGTTTTATCCTCATCTTGTCTTTTCATTGCCATCCATCTCTCGCGCGCACGACGCCCTCGCAAGCATCCCCGCTGCGGCTGCGCCACAGATCGCCGGACGATGACGCCCCACCCCCCCCGCGCCGCGTCCCAAGGGCGGCCTGCGTCCCTCCCCTCCCGCCCCGCGGCCTGTGGCTCGAAAACCCTGGGCCATAAAATGGTCCGAGTCGTCGCGCGGGAATTAGTCACGGACGCGGCGTAAAAACAAGACGAATGACAAAGTGATCTGAATGGCCTCGCATCCTTCGGGCGGGCGAGAGCAGTGACCGGCGGTCGTGACAGCCGTGCTCCGCAGAGAACGCGTTGATCACGCCCCACCTGGGCTGTCACGTGATGCTGGAGGACGCCGTCGAAACCCAAAAAAACCGCAGAAAAGCCGTTTCTGTTCTAGAACTGACCTTAAAATGTCCTCAGCGATAATGATCGCTTGCAACAAAATTCTATCTGCCATTGGTATATGCCCATTAAACCAAGCAAAGGGTTAAAATCCATGCATAATGATAAGGTTGCATGAAACAAAAAGTGAAGCAGCGTTCCCACGAAGCGCGGCTGCGTCCTTGCCAGAAGACGCAGCGACGCGTTACGTGTCCATAGTTGCTCTGGCACGCCCGGCCGGACGCCGGAGAGCCCGGCTTCCTGCCCGCGCGGCCGCGCCTGCAGCCGCGAGGTCCTTCCTCCGGGCCGTCCCGTTTGGCCTGCTTACCTCTTTCCACATCTGTCTTTGAATCTGTCTGTCTAGCTACCTACCTATCTGTCTATTTGTGTATGTGAGGATATATATGTGTGACACATACATATATGGATATAGCGTATTTGTGTGTGTGTGCGCGCGCGCGTGTGTATACATACGCATATCTATATGTATATATATGTATATGTATGTATGATATACATATATATATATATATATATATATATATATATATTGTGTATTTGTGCATGTGTATGTGCATGTGTATGTTTGTGTGTGTGTGTATGTGTGTGTGAGCGTGTGTGTGTTCAGACACCCACACACAA